AAATAAAAGACAAGGAAAGGCACACTCTAAACTGGAGACAGTGGAGGTGATGATCTGGGGCACTATCAGTCCACACCTGTGAGACAGCTCACTTCCTGCTGCCTTTGTATCAGCTGCAGACTTCTGTAGCACCATGCCTGGCTGCAGGACTCTAGCCACCATGCTCCCTACTACAATAACGGACTAAACCTCTGAAACCGTAAGCTACCACCTCATTTAAATCTCATTTAAATGTTTTCTTTTTTTGTTTGTTTGTTTTTGTTTTTTTGAGACAGGGTTTCTCTGTGGCTTTGGAGCCTGTCCTGGAACTAGCTCTGTAGACCAGGCTGGTCTCGAACTCACAGAGATCCACCTGCCTCTGCCTCCCGAGTGCTGGGATTAAAGGCGTGCGCCACCATCGCCCGGCTGCCCGGCTTAAATGTTTTCATAACAGTTACCATGGTCATGGAGTCTCTTCACAGCAATAGAAATGTAAGACAATGACTCATACCTGCAATTCCTACCACGTGGAATGTGGAGGCAGGAGATCACAAGTCCATCCTTGGCTATAGTGGCAAGTATAAAACCAGCCTGGCCAGGGCGGCGGTGGCGGACATCTTCAATCCCAGTACTCAGGACATAGAGCCTCTGAGTTCAAGGCCACCCTGGTCTACAAGAGTTAGTTCCATGACACTTAGGGCTGTTACACAGAGAAACCCTATCTCGAAAAATTAAAAAAAAAATTGTTTATGCTCAGTGGTGACGGCACACACCTTTATTTTTGTATTTTTTTAAGATTTATTTATTTATTATGGGTACAGTATTCTAAGTATTCTGTCTGCATATATGCCTACAGGCCAGAAGAGGGCACCAGACCTCATGACAGATGGTTGTGAGCCACCATGTGGTTGCTGGGAATTGAACTCAGGACCTTTGAAAGAGCAGGTAATGCTCTTAACCGCTGAGCCATCTCTCCAGCCCTGGCAGAGATCTTTAATCCCAGCACTTGGGAGGCAGAGGCAGAGGGATCTCTCTAAGTTTAAGGCCAGCCTGGTCTAGAGAGCCAGTTCCAGGATAGCAAGGCTACATAGAGAAACTTTTCTCAAAACAAAAACAAAATAAAACAAAATTTGCTTGGCTTTTCTTTCCTGTTTGTTTGTTTTGTTCTATTCTGGTTTATTTATTTTTCAATTGCTTGTTTGTGTTCAGAGAAAATGGAAGTGTCTGGATTTGGATGGGTTGAGTGGATCTGGGTTGGCGAGGAAAAACCATGATCAGAATGCATTGTATGAAAAAGACTAGTTTAACTAAAACAGCAGTAATACACGCGTGTGTGCGCACTTATTTTTGTGGTCCTGGGATGGGATGGAGCCTAGGACCACACACCCAGCCCCTTCACCCTCCTTTCTTATCACAGCTACTCATTTGGTCTTGACAGTGTGTAAAAAGAGCCCCTTGGTTTCTCCATGGTCTCAGCACACCCATCCATGACTGTTCTCTTCCAAGGCCTGTGGGAACACTTGGGAGACACTCTACCTGACAGCAGTAGAGCAAGCCCCCACCTATTTGATCCAGTGTTAAGGACACACAGAACCTCTAAGGGCACTGAGTAGCTAAACCAGCAGCCAGATCCAGCCTCCCTCCTGTGCATGGAACCTGGTGTGTGTCGAATGTGTATGCACAGCCTCCCCGCCTTCCAGGGGCTCGAATACCCCAGGATGACTTCAAACTCACCCTGTAACTGAAGATGACCTTGAACTTGTAAGCCTCCTGTTTTTACCTGGGGTTACAGGTAAGCTCCCACATCCAACTTCCTCGGTGTTGGGAATTAAACACCCAGCGCCCTGCATACAAGCACTCTACCAGCTGGCCCACACCCAGGCTGAAACTTGCCTGTGAGTGCTTATACAGCAAATGGCTACTCAAAAAACTCGACCCAAGGAAGCGCCCCTCCTTGACCAGGCTGGGAGCAAATCTCTGTACTACTGATACTTTTGGTTAGTCTGTGTCTCTTCACACTGCTGTAAAGAGGGCCTAGAAACAAAAGTGTCTCATACCTGTCATCCCAGTAATACCCTCTATTCCCCACCCCAGGGAGGTGGAGGCAGGGGGATTTGTCGTGAGTTTGAGATCGGCTTGAGCAACAATGTCTCAAAGCAGGGATGGGACTCGAGGCATGATAACATGCCTGTCATCCCAGCACTAAGGCCGCAGCAGCAAGAGGATGGGCCAGCAGAGGGCGCCATGAGCAATGAAACAAAAGTAAAGCCCCGCCTGCCAGTGGAGGAGTCCCTCTCAGGTGTAGCAGAAGTCCACCCCACAGTCCGTGGGATGGGAAGAAAACTGTCCAAACTTACTGGGTTTCTGCGGGAGGTAGAAAAGCACACAGGGCCCCTCCCTCCCCCAAAGAGCTAGTTCCTGTTCACTGAGGAAGCGGTCCTGGAACAGCCAGCCTGCAACTGAATGCCATTCATTTGCAGTTAAGAGAGCAAGGTGGGGCAGGGCGGCGGTGAGCGCCTCTAATTCCAGCACTCAGAGGCAGCGGGTGCCAGCAAAATGGCTCAACAGGTAAAGGTGTGGCCATGGGGCCTACATAATGGAAGTAGAGAACTGATTCCCACATAGTCTGTTCGCCTCCACATGTGCACTGTGGCATTTACACTAGTGTCTCTCTCTCACACACACACACAAAATGTAACAATGTAAAAATAAAAACACAAAATAAAAATCAAAGATCATGCCCGGTGGTGGCACACACCTCTAATCCCAGCACTTAGGAGGCAAAAAAGGTGGATCTCTGTGAGTTTGAGGCCACCCTGGTCTACAAGAGCTAGTTCTGGGACAAGCACCAAAGCCACAGAGAAACCCTGTCTTGAAAAACAAAAAAACAAACAAACAAACAAACAATTTAAAGATCATAATGGAGTAGCCAGCTGTGCTGGAGGCTGAAGCAGGAGGATCACTGGAACAGTGAAGCAGGAGACTCTGGGACAGCCTAGGCAACTATCAAGATCCAGTCTCAAAAACACCTGTTATGGGGCTGCAGCTGGAGAGACGGCTCAGAAGTTAAGAGCCCTGGCTGCTCTTTCAGATGTAAGGAATTCAATTCCCAGCAACCATGGTGGCTCACAACCATCTATAATGAGATCTTGTGCCCTTTTCTGGCCTGAAGGCACACATGCAGACAGAACACTATACACTATACACATAATAAATAAATAAATCTTAAAAAATGTGTTAAGTGTGTTTTGTAAGGATTTATTTATGCGCTGATGGCGCACACCTTTAATCCCAGCACTGGGAAGGCAGAGACAGACAGATCTCTGTGAGTACAAGGCCAGCCTGGTCTATACAGCAAGTTTCAGGCTCCAAAACTACAGAGAAACCCTATCTCGAAAAAAACATTATTTATGTATATGTGTTTTGCTCGCACGCATGGATGTACGTGGTCTCCAGGAGACAGAGAACTAGAGTAGGGGTCTACTGTGAAGCGCCAGGTGGACGTCAAGTCCTGTCAAGAGCGACAGTGCTAACCACTGAGCCACAGTCTCTCCGCTCTACTTGTTATATGTTTGGGTTTCTGTTGTTGTTGCTCTTTGGTTTTGCTTGACTTCATTTGGTTTTTCAAGACAGGGTCTTTCTGTGTAGCCCTGGTGTCCTGGAATTCACTCTATAGACCAGACTGGCCTGAACTGAGGTCCAAGTGCGGGGATTAAAAGCGTGTGCCCCCACCACCCGACTCACATGTATACTTTACCACTAGTCTT